TGGCAAAGTGCTTGTTTAACATGTGCAAGGTCCTGAATTCAATCCCTAGCATCACAAAAGAGAAGAAAAGATCTCACTAGATACATGAAATATAGTCAGTCAATGGTTGCTTAGGGGATTATGTCTGGCGGATGTTAGGACGTGAGCCAGGAGAAGGGGATCTTGCATTGTAGACACAGGTGCATGCCCGGGCTTGCAGCTTTTGGAGAGATGGTACCCCCAGGGAGCTAACCACACTCCCACATGCTAAAGCAGAGGGTCTAAAGAAAGGGTGGGGAAGAAACCAGTCCTGACCGACGACAGCCTCTTCAGCTTCCTTGAGGCATCTGTACTTTGTCTTTGTGACACACAGGAAGCCACTGACGAGCTTCGGGGAAGGAGTGTCCAGTTTGTGTTTCGGCTTTAAGAAACTGGCTGCTGCAGCGAGGGTATGCCCCAGGCAGATCCTGAAGGTCACCAGAGCAGCACGCAAACTGCCACTCTCCAGGCAGAGGAGAAGACTTCCTGTCTCACCTACCTCCACAGATGGTGTCCCCTAGTCAGGTGATTTCCAAAGACTTAACAGGCAACAGAATTCTGGCTCTGTGGATGCCACAAGGACCATAACGCACAGTGTGCAGTGCATTGTACACTTTGTGTGGTCTGGCTAAGCCCCTGGACATGCCATAAGTTCAGCAAAGCTTTGCTGACCTCATCATTCAGCCTCTCTACAGTCCACCCCAAAGGAACAAATGGGTCCTAACTATCCGTCCTGGAATCTGGAACTCAGGCATGCCTTTTACCAGTGAGGAAAGCTAAGGTCAGAGGGAGATCATGCCAAACCCAAGGTCACAGAATTTTTGAGAGGTCTGTTTGCCTCCAGAGTTCAAGATCCTTCATCTTGACTTTGGACTAGGTAAACTCTTAGACTATCAGGGCTAGAATGTGCCTAAGAACTCATCTCAGGACTGGAGAGTTGGTTCAGCAGTTAAATGCACTGGCTGCTCTTCCAGAGGACCTGGGTTCAATGACCAGAATCCACATGGTGGCTCACAATCCTCTATAACTCCAGTTCCAGGGTATCCAACACCCTCTTTTGACCTCTATGTGTACTTCACACACATGGTACACAGATAAACATGCAGGCAAAACATTCATAAAATGAAAAATTAAAAGAAGAAACCGCCAGGCAGTGATGGCACAAGCCTTTAATCTCAGCACTTGGGAGGCAGAGTCAGGTGGATCTTTGTGAGCTCGAGGCCAGCCTGGTCTACAGAGTGAGATCCAGGAAAGGCACAAAGCTACACAGAGAAACCCTGTCTCAAAAAAAAAAAAAAAACCTGAAAAAAAAGAAGAAGAAGAAGAAACCATCTCATCTAACACTAACACTCATATTTTCAGAGGACTAACCTAAGGCCCAGTGAAGTGAAAGGCTTACTTGGGAACATCAGTTCACAGCTGGAAGTTTATTCTGACCTTAAGTCTTAGCCTCCAGCCCTTACCTTTTCCTATGTCCAGACACCTCCCTGAGGTTAAAGCTGTGTGGTGGTTGTGAGAACTGTTAAATCACTTCCCAATTCTGTTGTCTGAGGCCGTGCATCTGATGAAATGCCCATAATCTTTGAGATACACAGGTCTGGTTTCAAATTCCAGCTGCCAAGTAGGGGACAGTTATTTATATGTGACTCTACATATATGAGCAAATGCTTGTGTATGCTCTGCCCTTCTCCGGAAGGATATACAAAAAGTTAGTTCAGTGGTTTTCCTCCACAGAGGAGGCTTTACTGAAAACTTTTAGCATTATACTCTTTTTTTGCACACATTTGCATTTTTTAATTTATGTGCAATAATTTTCTTTCCTTATGTTAAAAACAGCCACCTCTATTATTCATTTAAGATTCTGGGGGAGGCCGTTTAGCGTCCCTGAGGCTATGTTGGTTATATTCATCCTCTTCCCCTGGTGGGGTGGCCTGTGATTTAGAAGGCTGTTAGATGGTGCCCTCACTGGGTGTTATGGAACCAGGTTTGAAGAGTCCTGCACTGTTGACAGCTCAGGGGTGAGAGAGAGTGATCTAGGATTCTGGGAAGTGGCTGCAGCAATACCCGAGGAAGACCAGAGCTGCCAGAACAGAATGGTAAAGGAGTCAGTGAGGAGGCTGGCTGGTGGGGGAGGGAGACATTCATAAGCATAGACCCTCAGTGTGTTCCCCCTTCCCTTCCACTCTTACGCCTGCACACCCTGGAAGAATGCAGAGCCCCTGGGTTTCTGGGGAAAGAGCATGAAGGCCACCAGGACTTGTGCCCTGTCCTTGGTCCTGAAGCAACATCTACCTGTGTTTGGGAACTGGTACTCTAGAGATTACTCTCTCAGAGCTCTCAGTAGATGAGGATGGTCATTTTCATTCTAGAAAACATATCAATATGTTTGCATCCTGCAGTCCTGCTCCTCCTGGGTTGCTGTCTGCACCCACGTTCCACAAGTACTAGTTCTAGCTTCGTGTCCCATGTACCAAGCCCACACCAGCCAAACTGGGCCCCAACACACTCAGCAAGCATCCACTCCATTTTTGGGTTCTCCATATTCATGGCCCATCCCTATCAGGACACCAGATGCTAGATGAGAGAGGGAAGGCAAGCAGAACTTCACCTTGGGTCTCCCAACCTAAACTGTTCTGTTCGTGCATTTTTGACAGTTACATTGTTTCCACGTGATTGAAAACGCCAGAGAAAGAGCCCCTGGCTCATTGCCACAGCACTTGTGAGGGCAACGTGCTGAAACTGACTTTTCCAAAAATTCTGAGCTGAGAGCCTGAGATTTCGGCGAGAATTAGGAACGTGACAGCTCGTTTTGCTCTGGCACCAAAGGATTGGGAAAATGAGCTCTCTGAGGGCTTCATAGTTCAGAGAAGGTCCCAGGAGGTAGGTGAAGATAGCAGACAGGCTTAGTCTGTTCCCACATGCAGAGGAAGGGAAGGTGCCTAAGTTTCCTCTGCCCCACCCTCTCAATCCAGCAAAAAAAACCTTTTTGTTCCTGATCAGACGCTGCAGAATGAGGTCATGACTGGCCTAGTGAGAGGACAGCATAGAAGGGCACCCAGATACACGGGGAGAACTATGGGCTCAGGAGGCTCTCAGCAATGGGATGCCATCTCCAACCACATCCGCTGCCCTGGCCTCTCCACACCTCACGGGCGCTTTCCCTCACCGGTTCTCAGCCACCAGGATCTGCTCCAGCAGGCGTGCGGCCTGCACGCGGGTCTCTAGCTCCGGTGCCTGCAGCAGCCGCAGCAGCAAGTCGAGGCCACCGTCCAGGCGTATCGCATCGCACAGACCCTGGGCCACCTCGCGGCCCACGGCCGGCAGCAGCCAGGCCTCCTCTACCAGCTGGAAGACCTCGGCGAGGCCCGCGCCCACCGCCCGCGGCGCGCTTGCCTGCTTCAGCTCAGACAGCGCCTGCTGCAGCTCTGGCAGCGAACGCTCCAGGGCGCCTTGCACCTCGGTGCCCACCCCGGGCGACACTTCGCGAGACCCGCGGCCCGCAGCCCACCACGGGCTGGCGCTGCCATTCCTATCCGGCCCCGGCACCGTCAGCCGATCGGCGCCCGACCGTGGGCCAGACATGGCGAAGAAGCGGCACAGTTTGTAGGCGGAGAAGAGCAGCGTCAGGACCATGGGCGCTGGGCAGCGGGGGACATACCGCGCCCGGAGGGGCGGGGCCTGGCGGAGCGACCCCGGCCTTGGCGGGGGGGGGGGGGAAGCAAAAACCAGGACCTGGCAAGGGCGCTGGGCCACAAGTTTAGAAGCAGGGGGAGGAGGGCAGCTCGGGGACGCAGCAGCTGGGGAAGGGGATGCAGGGAGAGGGAAGCAAAGGATGGGCCCGACGCGGGAGGATAGAGACCCCGGTGCCAGGAACAAAGCGCAGCTCCAGCCTCTCGCTCCTTGGAGCTGAGATGCTCAACAGCAACCACGCCTCTGAGTAGCGGAGTCAAGGATTTGACGCCCCGCCCCTAATTCTCGCAGGCTCCGCCCCTGCCGCAGGCGAAAGCCCCACCCCAGGCCTCACGGGCCCCACCTCCTTTCTCTAGTCGGCTCCCCTATGCGGTTTGCTAGATAGTGGAAAGGGCTGGGAAGAGCGGTCCTCGATCCCCATCGCTCGCCCCGCCCCGGGTGATGTGGAAGCAAACCGCCTGAATGGACCCACATCCCCTTCGGATGGCTAAAGAATCGTAGTTGAGATTCTTAAGGCCCTTTAATGCCTGTTTCCACTTAGGCCTCACATGTCTATAGGGAGTAAGATTTAGTGCTTCATTTTGCCGCTGAGACTACCGAGGCCCACAGGGAAGAGACACCAAAGGCACAGTCCCCTGTGATTACAGAACAGAAAACTTAAGGGCTTCAAAAGCGTACCGGTGTCTGAAATTTGGCACAAAACCTGGCGTTCTATAACAATGAGCATCTTCTTCATAGAGGGATCACACTTTGTGAGTTAAAAATATGCCCAACCAGTCCATTCTTTATAGATGGGGTCACTGAGGGTGGGTTCAGGGGTGGTCCACTGAGGATCAGTGGGTTGGTGGAAGCCTTAGGAATCTTAGGCTCTGGGAGTGGGGAGATGGCTTGGTCTTCAAGAGCACTGGTTCTCGCAGAGGACCCCGATTCGATTCCCAGCGTTCATATGGCAGTTCACAATTGTTCAAAACTCCAGTTCCAGGGTGTCCAAAGTCCACTTCTGACCTCCACAGACACCAGGCATGCACGTGGTGTACAGACACTCACACACGCACACAAAATAAAATACATAAATCTAAAATTAAAGACAAGAATGGAGCCGCTGCTTCCTGCACGGTGAAGCCCAGCTTGGAGAGAACCATGCTTCCTCAAGGAGAGGCGAGAAATGAAGCTTTGTTCTTTTATGATAAGAAAAGAACCCTCCCGCAGAGGTTGGCAGCTCTCCTCCACCCTAGGGCCCTAACTATCCACCTGGGACGTGGGGGTAGGTGGAACAAACACCTAGTCCGGGATGCGCCTGATCAAACACTAAATCAATAACTGCTGATGAGAATGAGTTGGAAGCTACTCGGGGCACCAAGCCTTTTGTCCGTTCTAGCTCACGTAATCTCTCAACACCTGATGAGGCCAGTCACCATGGTCCCATTTCATAAAAAGGAAGGCTCAGAGACATTAACGTAACTGGCTCACAGGGCGACAACGCAAACTTTCTTTCGGCCTTCCCAACCCACCATGCTATCCCAGCTGCCCATGACCCTCCTGACTCTGGTCTTGGCGAGGGTTCTGTTTCCCAGCTCTCCTAGGGCTGGGGTTCTGGGAATGTGACCCTTTGCTGCAGCTGTGTTTGGAGGAGGGGACTAGGGCTGGGCCGGAGGATGAGCAAACAGAGGCAGGAACCCAGTAAACTAGCAACTCCTCTTCAGTTCGAGTCTTTTCTCAGGCAGGACGGCGAGACTCCGGAAGCTCCGAGCCCAGCTTGCCAGGCGCTCTGCCAGAGGCCTGCCATGGCACCCCTGAGGCCCTTTCTCATACTGGCCCTGCTGACATGGGTTTCCCTGGCTGACCAAGGTGTGTGTGTGTGGGGGGGGGGGGTGATTGGTGGACATCTAGGGCAATGCAGGGTGGAAGGTGGTCTGGCCTGGGCTGTAGAGACTGATATTCCCTCCCACAGAGTCATGCAAGGGCCGCTGCGCCGAGGGCTTCGTGGCCAACAAGAAGTGCCAGTGTGATGAGCTCTGCAGTTACTATCAGAGCTGCTGTGCTGACTACATGGCACAGTGCAAGCCCCAAGGTTCGTTCAGAGCCCTGGTGGGTGGGGGTGGGGGTCCCCTGTGCAACGGGAAACTCACTACTGCCCACTCTGCCTACAGTGACTCGGGGGGATGTGTTCACTATGCCCGAAGATGAGTACTGGAACTATGACTACCTGGAGGGGACCAAGAACGACACCAGCACCCTTGTACAACCAGAGAACACTCCTCTATACCCTGACCGACAGCCCCAAACTGAAGGGGCTTCAAAGCCAACATCTTTCCTAAAGCCCAAGGAACAGGCTCCAACACTGGAGGCAAGCACCTCAGGGCCAGAAGTGGGGTACCAGGAGGTGAGCCCAAGGCCTGATACCACTGATCAAGGGACCTCTGACTCCCCAGAGGAAGAGCTGTGTAGTGGGGAGCCCTTTGACGCCTTCACGGACCTCAAGAACGGTTCCCTCTTTGCCTTCCGAGGTGACTCTATGGACAGGTCTGGTGGTGGTGGGGGGGGGTCTGCCTAGGACCATCTGCTTCTCACACAGCTTCCCCTCCTCTAGGGCAGTACTGCTATGAGCTAGATGAAACGGCAGTGAGGCCTGGGTACCCTAAGCTCATCCGAGATGTCTGGGGCATCGAGGGTCCCATTGACGCTGCCTTCACTCGCATCAACTGTCAGGGGAAGACCTACCTTTTCAAGGTACCAGACCCAAGCCTATGAGTCAAGGTAAAGAGTATCATGGAAGGTGCTGGGAGCTGTGAGAACAAGGTAGTCAGGGGCTCCCGGAGCTGGTGACAGGATACAGGACTGCCTCTTTGTCCAGCAGTCTGTCCTCACTCTTTTCATCTTCCCTGTCTCTCAGGGTAGTCAGTACTGGCGCTTTGAGGACGGTATTTTGGACCCTGGCTATCCCCAAAACATCTCTGAAGGCTTCAGCGGCATACCAGACAATGTTGATGCGGCTTTCGCCCTTCCTGCCCACAGCTACAATGGCCGGGAGAGGGTCTACTTCTTCAAGGGTACTCGGGGTGGGAGGAGAAAGGGGTGGTGGTGGAGGAGTCCCTGCTCTCTCCTATGCTTCCCTGGGTCCCACCCTGCCTCGGAGCTCCCCAGCCTTAGTCAGACCTGCCCTTCTGACGCCAGCTGTCCTGCTCCTCAGGGAAGCAGTACTGGGAGTATGTATTCCGGCAGCAGCCCAGCCAGGAGGAATGTGAAGACAGCTCTCTGTCAGCTGTGTTTGAGCACTTTGCCCTGCTTCAGCGCGACAGCTGGGAGGACATCTTTGCACTCCTCTTCTGGGGCAGACCCTCTGGTACGGAGGGGGAGCGAGTCTGGCTTCTTTCTCCAGAAAGGCTCTGGAGTAGGGCTGGACTGCGGTAGTGAGGATTCCAGGGGGAGGGGACTGCAATCGCCCCACCATCGATCGAGAGCTGTTTGCTCTGGTTAGACTTTGCTTCTGTTGACTTTTGGGGGTGAGGCTTGGCTCCATTTGGACCCCATACCTTGAACTTTGCCTAACACAGCAGAAGGAGGGGGGCTGTGGATGAGGGGTTTGGGAGGGGGCAGAGATACAAGGGATACAGTGGAGAGAGGGCACAGGAAAAAGCGCTGGACAGGGAGTCTGAGGCCTGGGTGCTGGGTACTGAGTTCTATCATGAGCTTGTTGTGTGTCTTGGGCAAGACGAACTCTAAAGGTCCTGCTGGAGCCGGGAGGTGGTGGCACACACCTTTAATCCCAGCACTCTGAGGCAGAGGCAGGTGGATCTCTGTGAGTTAAGAGCCCAGCATGGTCTTCATGGCGAGTTCCAGGCTAGTCATGGGTACATAGAGAGACCTTGTTTCAAAGAAAATAAATATATAAATAATAAATAAATGTCCTGCTGAAAAAAAAAATCAAAGCCTGGATTCTCAAAGTTGCATTAACCCCTTCCCTACTACAGACGGTGTCAGAGAACCCCAATTCATCAGCCGGGACTGGCATGGTGTGCCAGGAAAAGTGGACGCTGCTATGGCTGGCCGCATCTACATCGCAGGCTCTGCACCCCACTCCCTGCAGGCCAAAAAAAAGAAGTCTAGGCGTCGCAGCCGAAAACGCTACCGTTCACGCAAGGCGGGTGGCCGCGGCAGCCGCAGCCGCAGCCGCAGCCGCAGCCTGAACTCCCGTCGCTCATCGCGTTCACTCTGGTTCTCTTTGATCTCTAGTGAAGAGAGCGGGCTAGACGCCTACAACTATGATTATGATATGAACTGGCTCGTACCTGCCACCTGCGAGCCCATTCAGAGCGTCTATTTCTTCTCTGGAGGTGAGAGCCGCTAATACCCCTGAAGCTGGTTTTGCCTGGGCCCTTCCGTCAGGCTCTGGTCCCTGGGTGCTGAACACAGCCTGTAGATGGTGACCTTATCTGCATGGTGGATGTTCCCTTTCACTTCGGAAAGAAACCCTTGTTTTCCTTCTTGGGACCAGCGACAGGACCAGGCAGGATCTTATATAGCCTCTTTCCGTTCTCTCTTTCAGACAAGTACTACCGAGTCAACCTTAGAACACAGCGAGTGGACTCTGTGAACCCTCCCTACCCACGCTCCATTGCTCAGTATTGGCTGGGCTGCCCAGCCCCTAAAAAGTAGGAGTCAGAGCCCACACAACAGAGCCTGGAGAAACTCATCCTTCAGCCTTTTCCTCCCAGCCCAATAAAGTCTGTTGGCCCTCGGGGCTGGAGAGATGGCTCAGAGGTTAAGAGCACTGGCTGCTCTTCCAAAGGTCTTGAGTTCAGTTCCCAGCAACCACATGGTGGCTCACAACCATCTGTAATGAGATCTGGTGCCCTCTTCTGGCCTGCAGGGATATGTGCAGGCAGAACACTGTATACATAATAAATAAATAAATCTTTAAAAAAAAAAGTCTGTTGGCCCTGAGTTTAAGACTTCTGTCCTGAATAGGGTGGGCAGCCCTGTCCCCTGGACAAAGAAAGACAAGTGGGGCTCTCTGATTGAGGAGGGACAGAGAAGACCCCACTGGGCTCGGGTGCTCTTCCTAAACCAGAAACACTGGGGGCTTGTGAGAGCTACCCTTTCAAGTCTCCTTGCCCCCCCCCCAACCCCGCTCTGCAGGTAAATATGAACTCCAGTTGCTGTGGTGATGACTGCAGTTACCCAGCCACCCGCTCAGGTGACGCTTCTTTAACCATGGAGTTAACCAGGGCCTCCGAGGAGATGAGAAGCAAGAGGATGGAATTCAACTCAGCTTTGCTGTCCACCGTGCATCTAGAACACAGTTAACTTCCAAGCAACAGCGGGGACAGACCCCCACAACAGACACCTAATGGGGGCTTTTCTCTGAGGCCTCTGTCCTGGGCATGGGGGTGGAGAGAGAGAGAGAGAGAGAGAGAGAGAGAGAGAGAGAGAGAGAGAGAGAGAGAGAGAGAGAGAGAGAGGGAGAGAGGGAGAGGGAGAGAGGGAGAGAGGGAGAGAGGGAGAGGGAGAGAGGGAGAGAGGGAGGAGGAGGGAGGAGGGAGAGGGAGAGAGGAGAGAGAGAGGGAGGGAGGGGGAGGAGGCAAGGACAGGAAGAACATTGACATACATCCCCTTTCTCATAGTAAAGAAGCTCAGAGGACCCTCATGGAAGGAAATGCTGTAAAAGTGAATGTCTTTGTGAACCCCTGGCTCGCCCGTGGAATGTTCCCTGGCTCCATGATCCTGGGTTTCAGGAAGCCTGTCTGGCCTTTAGAGGAGCCAGAAAGGGTTCTAGAGCAGCCCCGAGGGCAAGCTGGTGGTGGCAACTGTTCCCCAGCCCTGCTGACAACAGGTGGCTCAAACAGCATCCTCACCCACCCAGTTTCTCTGCCAAGTCCTCAGAGAGTGGGACAGGAATCCACCCACTTTCCCCTGAAGGCAGCCAAGACCAGGACACTGGAGAATCTTAGGGAGCATCAGAAGCCCTGGGAGCTTTGGGGAGGTAGATTTCTGTGGTTTGGGGCAAGGGTTTCACACGGTACAGGACTGAAAGCAGAGACTGTCAGAGGCTGAGGTTTGAGGAGGGAGGTGTGACCAGCTTCTTGGTGAAAGCTGGGGTGTGCACCAATCTGGTCCAACCTAGACCTCGATTAGCCCCAATCCTGCCTTGCTTCCCCCTTCTCAACCTCCCTAGAGTGACTGCTACGCCTCTTCCCTCTGGAGGCGGAGCCACGGTGGACTCTGAACAGCTTAAAACCCTAAGGCCTGAGTCTGGTGTGGGCAATAGCCCTGGCAGGGCCCTCTGGCTCCTCGTCCTGTTCCAGCTCCATGGCCAGTCCTGTGGAGGCATCTCCAGGTGACCTGGTGGGGGAAGGGTGGGTAGGGTGAGGAAGAGTAACACGGTGGGATGGTGAAGGGTGAGGAGTGTAGGGATTGGGGCTACAGAGGCTGATCAAGGCTTTAAAAGCTGAGGCTCTTGCAAAGGAGTTCTGGTTTGATTCCCACTCCTCCGGCCCACAGGTTGTGACAGTGGGTTGGGTCCCCATCGGAGAAAGAGGACCACCTTCAGTGTTGGGCAGTTGCTGGAGCTAGAACGGGTATTTGCAGCTAGGCCCTATCCTGACATCAGCACTCGTGAGCACCTGGCCCAGGTAACTCACCTGCCTGAAGCCAAGATCCAGGTGAGCTGCAATAGCGAACTTCTGGGTTTCACACAGCGCCTCTTCTCTCTGGGAATCCTGCCTTCATATTCTGATTTCCGTCCCAGGAGAGTGTGCTGGTGCCAAGATATATCCCTTCATCTTCCCTATCAGGTGTGGTTCCAGAACCGCCGAGCCAAGAGACTCAAGAGCAGAAAGCCAGGAGCCCTAAACCCTAGGCTGGAGCTTCCTCCAAACTCCTGTTGTCTTCCAGACACCCCCCAGCAGCCCTGGGACCCTGGAACACCAGGCCAGCTTCTACACCCCACCAGCTCAGCTCAGCATGCTTCAGCATGCCCACAGACCACCTGTGTAGCTCCCAGCTTGGGTCCAGGGCAGAGCTGGGCAGGGGCTAAAGCTGCAGCCTCATGGGGGCCAAGTGGGCCTTCAGGGGTTCACCCTTCTTTAGAGCAAATTATTCCTCAGACTTCACTGGGCAGCCTGTCTGACCTTATCTATACCTCAGCCATCGTTACCAATGTAGATCACTCCTAATTTAGGTGTAGAGTTTGTAAGTTTGGCTCTGGCTCTTGTAGCCCATTCCATCTCTCCTGGGATGGAGCACATGAGAGAACCCCTGCCTCTTTTTACATAGGGAGTGTTCTCTAACAGAGTTTAGCTCAGAGACCCACCTCTCCACTCTCAACCTCCAGCAACCTAGTTGAAGGTCCTGTGCAGGGATTAGAGTCTAGCTTCCACCACCCAGCGCCCTGGTCATTTCTGGGGCATATGCCCATCATCAGGAGGTACTGTCAAGGTAAGGGACCATGTTGTTGCCCTCTATTGCCGGGTTTGGGTCCCCAACTCCTATTATCTTAGCTGATGATCTCTTTCCTCTGAGGGGGCAGCTACCAGTCTGAGAACCCTGCCAGGACCTTACCTATGTGCCAGGGGAAGGGTACTGCTCCTAAGCTGGACTGCTGGAACACCCACCCTTTCATGGTTCAGGGCCCCATTGCCTGACTTCCTGCCACCTGGAAAAATTAATCAGAACTGTGGATTTGAAGAGAGTGATATTAACGTTACAGAAATAGAAGCCCGGGTCTTAGGTTGATTGAATTTCCCCAAATATCAGATTGGCTGTCCTCTGATGTGGGCTGTGGGGACAACCTGACAGATCTGGGGAGGGGGTGTGGTAGCTTTGGGTTTTCCTATCACTGGCATCTGTAATACCAACTAATCTCCAAATAAAACAAAACTCGGCACTTTAATCTGGATTGTTGTATTGCAAATGAATGGGGGTGAGGCTTGCCTGCCTGGGAAGGTTATCTCCCACCACCAAATCCCTAAATAGGGCCAGGTGCCACAGACTGGGTAGGAATCATGTCCAGGCTTCTGCTGGGATTAGGGTGGTTAATTAAAGGGCTCAAGCTCTCCCAGGCTCTGGGGACACAGTAGCTAGCTTGCATGCCAGAATGTTCCAGTTCCCTCCACCTCTGGAGCTGCTCTGGAGAGAAAAGCATGGAGTCTGCAATCAATCTGTGTTGGATTCAAACCTTAGCTCTGCTATGTGACTACAACTCCGAAATTCTGTCTGCAAAGCAGGGATGGAAACCCTTCCTGTCTTGGGAAACATGTAGGTAAGGAACTTCATGTGATGACACATGATTAAAAAACTCAATAAATAGCCCGGCGGTGGTGGCGCACGCCTTTAATCCCAGCACTCGGGAGGCAGAGCCAGGCAGATCTCTGTGAGTTCGAGGCCAGCCTGGGCTACCAAGTGAGTTCCAGGAGAGGCGCAAAGCTACACAGAGAAACCCTGTCTCGAAAAACCAAAAAAAAAAAAAAAAAAAAAAAAATCAATAAATGCTAGTTCCCTCTGCTCCACACAAGGAAATCATGAGAAACTGGTAAGAACCAAATTTCCTGTCCTCTGCTAAGCACCTCTTGGAACCTGAGTGCTTTGGATAAAATGTGGCAGAAAGTTCCCTTTCCTGTGCTGTGAACTGGCCACCTCATTCCCAACACTCTCTCTGCCTGTGCAGATGGAAAGATGCTTGCAGCTTGCCTCTTGCTCAATTACACACAAGGCATGAGCTAGATCTTGGCTTTATTATCTCCAGACACTAGAATAGTACCTGGCCCACTAAACTACTGTTTGTAAGAGCTTGATGTCACTGAAGCTTATTGGCCTGTGTGGAGGGACTGGGATCTAGTGGACAATTCCTCCCAACAAAGGACCCCAAGTTTACTGTGAAATAGATACCCTAGGCTGGTCAAAGTCTGCTGGAAGAGAGTCTGCTGAAGTCAAACCTCTAACATTTGGAAGGCTTTCAACTTAAATTCAGGTACTTAAGGATATGTAGGCAGCCTGGCATACAGAGAACACATGGAAGTGAACCACAAGTCCCCCCTCAGGTTTCAGCGAGGTTTTCTGACCCAACACTTTAACAGTCCTGGTTATCAGAAACACTGTAAAATGCCACTTATACTTTCCTGTACTTGGTGCTTCTCCCTACCAACAGGAACTGATAAACATAATTGACAAAATGTCTACTATCTAGTAAGACTATGAGACAAGCTTGGGAAAAACATGGTCCAGAGATGGCTCAGTAGATAAAAGCCTCTGCTGTATAATCCTGAGAAAAGTCCACCGAAAAAGATGGTGCTTATCTACAATCCCAGCACTTCTAGAGAGAAGAGGTAGGGAAAGGTAGCCGGGAGTATGCAGCAGAGTAACAGAAACAAGAGACCCAGCCTCGACAAAGTAAAGGACAAAAGGAACCCCTCCCTCCAAGTTGTCCTGACCTCCATCTGAAAACCCTGGCACATGTGGGCCTGTACTCACACACGGCAACAGGAAGTTAAGAAGAGAGAGGCTTGAGGGGCTGAAGTGATGGCTTAATGGTTTACAGCTCTTGCAGAGAATGGAGCTTCAGTTCCTGGTACCCACACCAGCTAACTCCAGTTCCTCTTCCATCCCCTCAGGCTCCTGTGTGCATATATAGCCACACAGACACATGAAAGGAAGGATGGAAAGCTGGCAGGCCCAACAGACCTCAAAGACCTGCCATGATGGCATGTGCCTGAATCCTAGGACTTAGGAGGCAGATGTGGAAGATTGTCATGAGTTCGAGGTCAGCCAGAGCTATATAGCAAGACCATGTCACAAACAAGGGCAAATATTGAGCAATTCTCAGAATTACAGAAGTTTTTGTGCTCTTAAAAGATCTGAAATAAAAATATACTGAACACAAGAAATATTTATTGGATAAATAACATTTTTCAAGGGCCTTAAACAGATTCTCTAACTTATCTACATTCTGGAAAGTGTAACATAACATAGAGACAACAAGACAATGTAGACATCTTTGGCTCCATTTAACAGAAGGACCATAGCTGATCATCTGATTTCTTTCAGACTGTTTTGACTTCTGGAAAATGGCCTGATACCATTTCGTTTTCTAGAAAAAGTTAGCTGCCTGGCTTCTGGTTCCACCATCCTGTATCAACTGGTTTTTCTCTTATTTATTTGATGCCTGTTTTCTGACTGGTTCTTCTCAGGTTCATGCCTTCTGCTTCCTTAGGGTCTTCTGCTCAGTTACAGATCTTGTGCCAAGATATGTGGATGAAAGATGTTGATTGATTTATGCACTTGGGCCAGTTCAAGGCAGTACAGCCCATTTGGGGATAAGGTCTGGATTCTACTTACTTCTGATGGGAAAATCCCAGACTCAGCAGACCCCAGAATGGACCGCAGAAGGCAAATGGCACTGGATTCAGGAGCAGTTACTGAGACCAGTTCTTTCAGTTTTAAAGAAACAACGCTGTCTGAATCTCCTCTATTCCTCTCCAAGGAAACTGACAGCAGACACGGCTCCCCAAAGAAGAACTTGACTGGTCCTCTGACTAACTGGAGCGGAGTACAAAGAGCTTCATGGGTTGATGGAGAGTCAGTGATGGGCAATGGAGACTCTGGGGCTCCCCAAACTTCTTCCAGACTTTGATGGTGAAGTTACAGCTCCCCCAGTTCGCCTTCCATTACCCTCACCATGATGTACAGCTCTGCCAAACCCACCACCGAGGCGACGATCAATGCAGCCAGCACTCTCTGCCAGTGGGAAGAACCAGGTGTAGGTGATGCAGGCCAACACCCACATCTGCAGCCCTTAGCACTTCTTTTTTTTTTTTTTTTTTTTTGGTTTTTCGAGACAGGGTTTCTCTGTGTAGCTTTGCGCCCCTCCTGGAACTCACTTGGTAGCCCAGGCTGGCCTCGAACTCACAGAGATCCGCCTGGCTCTGCCTCCCGAGTGCTGGGATTAAAGGCGTGCGCCACCACCGCCCGGCGCCCTTAGCACTTCTAATACGGATAGAGATTCCCCATCTCAGTCCCTAAGTCAGTGGTTCTCAACCTGTGGGTCACAACCTTCTTTGGGGGTCGTTCACAGGGGTCGCATATCAGATATCCTACCTATCAAATATTTATATTATGATTCATAACTAGCAAAATTATAGTTATGAAGTAACAATAAAAGTAATTATATGGTTGGGGGTCGCCACACCATGAGGAACTATCTTAACGGGTCCCACTGCTCTAAGCTGTTGGGGAAAGGCAGCTCTTCAGATTACTACTCACCCCCGTGACTACTGGAAAGCTAAATGTGTCCCCTGGTTATTGCATGAATACATGCAACTGATAACCTGTGCAGTTTCACACACATCCTCCCTTTCCCATTAATCCCAGCAAGGGGCACTTTGTTCTGCCCAGTGCCTACTCACCGAAGCCATTTCTGTGAAGATATACTGGCTTCCCAGGTAAGTGCAGACAAAGGCAGCTACAACCGTGACAATGAAGTTGAAGATGGTAATGACCAAAGCCTTCATTGATCTCACTTTGGAAAGCAGTTCAGAGAAGAAACATTTAGGTCAACATTCTCAGGGAGACCCTATTAACCTCATAGCTCCCCCATCTACTGGGTTCCTCTCAGAGACCAAGACTGAATATCTTAGCCTTGATCCAACAATAGTGTAGTGGGAAGCAAGGCCATGACCAGTCCCAGAGAGAGACTTAGCAGCCTGGTTCCTAGTACCTCACCTTGTTTTCCCAGGTCATTAAGAGTCCCCCCACGCTGTGCATCCTGGGAAAAAACAAAACAAAAAAACTCAGATGATTTCAGAATGAAAGCAGTTCAGAAATCCTCCTTTGCCAGTCTGGCCTCAGCCCTTTCTACTCTTCAACAGATTAATTCTGTCCTCTCCAGGGATTCTTTTTCTGGAAGTGGTATGATGCCTTCTAGATCACAAAAAGGAGGATCCAGGCTCCCAGAACCCATCTACTTTTCTACTTTATAGCAGAAACATGCCAAATGAATCTTGTCAGTTAAAAAAAAAAAAAAAAAAAAAAAAAAAAAGCTACAGGTACACCTGTAATCCCGGCATTTGGGAGGCTGGACAAGAGGATCCAGATTTCAAGGCCTGTCTGGGCCACAGAGACCCATCCTTGAATAAAGAAAAAGCTCCAAGGCTCATCTCCATTTCTATGCTATTTGAGAATCGCTTACCATCTAAGCCCAAGAGTCTCAGTGAACACACTGAAGATATGTTTGATCTAGACAGAACCCAGAGGTCTTTTATGTTGCTGCTGTTGTTTGTTTTTCAAGACAGGGTTTCTTGGTGCAATAGCCCTGGCTGGGATTAAAGGCATGTACCACCGTGCCTGGCAGAACACAGAGGTCTTACGGTTCTAGAACAGTATATAAACTGAGTTTGAATTCCCATGTTTTTCTTTTCTTTTTTTTTTTTTTTTTTTGAGACAGGGTCTCACTATATAGTTCTGGCCGGCATCAAACTCAGAGATCCACTTGCCCCTGCATCAGGACTACTTGGATTAAAGGTGTGTGCTACTACACTCTGCTACTATTGTTTTTAAAATTGAAACTCTTTATTTATTTCTGGTGCAGGAGTAGGCCCTTACCTGACAAGTGACATTTCGAGTGATCCGCTTATATTCCTCATTGGCTAGCTGTATCTTAATCTTCTCTAGTCGGGCAACTAGCTCTGGATTCTAAAGCAAAAACAACCACATGAGAAGAACGACATTCTTCTACATATTTCTTGCTGCAAATTATGTCATAATCATTGGTTCCAAAGTGTAAGGTATAGCTAAGAGTGCTAGGGGTATCTGCATACTGCTTTGGAAAATGGGTTACTGGATCTCAGTTTTCCAAAGTTTTCAGGCAAGGCTTATTTCACTGCTTTGGAAAATGGGTTACTGGATCTGTTTTCCAAAGTTTTCAGGCAAGGCTTACTTCCCTGATTTTGGATTCCAAAGATTTTTTTTGTTGTTGGTGTTTTTTTTTCTTTCTTTTTCTTTTTTAGATTCTCCTCCAGAACAGGGCTTTTTTTTTTTTTTTTTTTTTTTTTTGGTTTTTCGAGACAGGGTTTCTCTGTGTAGCTTTGTGCCTCTCCTGGAACTCACTTGGTAGCCCAGGCTGGCCTCGAACTCACAGAGATCCGCCTGCCTCTGCCTCCCGAGTGCTGGGATTAAAGGCGTGTGCCACCACCGCCCGGCCAGAACAGGGCTTTTTAAAAAATTTATTTATTTTATTTTATTTTTTAAAGATTTATTTATTTATTATATAT